ATACACCACACACATGCCACACACACACTACACATGCCACAAACACCACACACATACCACACATACCACACACACGCCACACACACGCCACACACATGCCACACACACCACACACATGCCACACACACCACACACATGCCACACACACCACACACATGCCACACACACCACACACATGCCACACACACTACGCACACCATCACACACCACACATACTATACACACACCAGACACACACACACTGTACACACATCACACACCACACATACTGTACCCACACACTACACACACACACACACACACACACACACACACACACCCCTGACACCCGGGCCCTCCCTCCAGGGGGCTGATGTAATTGGCCTGGGCTGCAGCCAGAGTATTGGGATCGTTAAAGCTCCCAGGTGATCTAAATGGAAGGATTTGGGAGGCCAGCGGCCAAGGTTAAGCACATTTGGAAATGGGCTTAATCTGATTAGCCTTGCCACCCAGGGGAACGTCTCCTGGTGGCCTCCTCGGCCCACTTGAAGATAATGACCATAGGATCTGAGACCGGAAGGAGGGCAGCTGGTGTGCCCAGCATCACAGGGACGTGACTAGAAGCCGGGCCTCTTGAATTGGCCCAGGCTCCTCAGCTCACGGCTGAGGAGACACCTAGCCTGACCATTGGTGGGGACGAGGACTGTGTCTGTCCTCTAGCCTTCATGAAGAAGAACCTGAGTCTTCCTGACTCTGGCTGAGTGTGCTGGGACACAGAAATCAAAAGAGATCAGTGACAGCGGTGCCGTGGACAGAACAAGGCCACCCTGCTGGTCTAAAGAGCAAAGCTAGGACCCTGGTGTCCCCGTGACATTGACTCGACTGGTGTTTCCAATTAGAGCAGCGAGGAGCTTCAGCATGACAAAAAGATGCCAGGGCATATGGGGCGGCACTCTGGTTCCTTGTCTGAGAGTGTGCCCGGTGCCACACTCCTGATGGGCCAGCTGGCTGTGTGCAGCTGAGTATTGATGGCCCTCCCCAGCAGGCCCTGTGGAGGTTAGCAGTATTTGGAGAAAGAGATCTAGCACATGTTCCAAACCCTACAAGCACTACTAAAAATGCAGACCACGTGGGAAAGAAGCCATTTGCCATTTGTGATAAGGGTACTGGAGTTAACTCAGTTTAAGGAGAGTGACTGCCATCCTGCTGTCCTGCAGTCCACTCAACAATTCCATTCCCCTCCCTGTGCTGTCCCTCTGCTGTCCCTCTCCCTGGCTACACACACACACACACACACACACACACACACACACACACACACACACACACACACAGAGAGAGAGAGAGAGAGAGAGAGAGAGAGAGAGAGAGAGAGAGAGATTGTTATTTCAGAAGTGATTTTTGGTTAAATGATCTTTTAAATGAGAATCTGTTCTCTTGGGGTTTGTTGCAGTGGTGAGGATGGAACCCAGGACCTTGCACACAGTAGGCATGTATTTTACCACTGAGTGACGCTCCAGCCCCAAGTAGCTTGGCTTGTGTAGCAGGACCTTAGGAGTAGAAGACATGAGCCAAACTGCTTCTTCCTCTTCATTCACCTACTTTCTCCCGACCTTCGTGGTGATATGGACGTTTCTCAGATTCACAGAAGTGGCCTAGCGATGCAGCTCTGACCGCGGGGGCCGGGCAGGACCCACTTACCCAGAGCAATAGCATCATATCGAGGCATATTCATGATGGGAACATATGCATTTTCTGTATTTTCCTAACAGCTTCTGAAGTGTTCATCAAGCCTTTGTCTGATTAAGCACTTTTCAATTCTGAGCAGAGAAATGGGCCCTCTCAGACCCTCTTGGCAGGGGTGCAAATTGATACAACCCTTTTGGAGAGCTATTTGGTGATATCCATCAAAATTAAAAATGCATATAATCTTTGACCCAGAAACACCACTCTAAGACTTTATCCTGCAGAAATACTCAGCAAGGCCACAAAAAGCATGCATAGAAGTTTGGCTCTTGGCAGTTTAAATTAGTGTAGTGAAAATCTGCCAACAATCCAGGTCGATTAACAAAGAGGTGGTCGGAGAACCATCTGTAATGTAGGATACCCACCCAGTGTGCTTGCTATTGTATGTCAACTCCACACAAGCTACAGTCATTTGGGAAGAGGGAGCCTCATTTGAGAAAATGTCCCCACCAGATGGTCTCTGGGACATTTTCTTGATTGGTGATTGACATCAGAGGGCCCAGCTCATTGTGGGCAGTGCCAGCCCTGGGCAGGTGATCCTAGGTGCCAGCAAGCTTGGTTCCTTCCATGGTGTCTGCTTCAGTTCCTGCCTTGAGTTTCTGCTCTGCCTTCCTTCAGAGATGGGATGTAACCTGAGAGTTATAAGAAGAACTAAGCCTTTTCCTCCCCAAGGTGCTTTTGTTGATGGTATTTTAGCACAGCCATAGAAACCCAAGACACCAAAGCAGCTACGTTGAATGCAATCCAACTAGGTAGACAGCCAGGGAGCAGCCAGGGGACAGTTAGATACATGGGGAAAGTAAAGTGTTTCTGTTTCAATAAAAATTATGAAGGTCCAGGCATGGCGGGACAGGCCTGTAATCCCAGCGTTCAAGAAGGTAAGAAAGGATGACCGGAAGTTTGAGGCCAGCCTGGGCTACATACTCCCCTCTTGAAAACAAAGAAAAGGAAACCGAGGAAGGCAGCAATGGCCAGTCTCTGGCCAGTGGGTTCAATTCATGCTGTCTTAAATTAGATTTAAAACCTTAGCCATTGTTGAAATAATTTGAGAACCTGGAGCCAGTTTACTTTCCACTGGCCAAAGCTAGACCTGTGGTCAAATCTGAGCTCCCTCCCAGGTGGGGGGAGAGGTGATAAACTGAGCCATAATAATACCTAGTACGATTGTAATCCATTTTAATCTACCCAAGTATTCTCAGTAACATCAAAGAGGAACAAAATTGGTGTGACAAGCCACAGAACACCGGTTCTCACTGGAATGTCTTTGTTTTGGTCATCTTGGCTATTACTAATGAGAATCCAATCAGGCTCTCAACTTTTGCAAAAGCCCTGAGCTAAAACATCAGTACAGAGAACAGCATCTCTTCCTTCACTTTGGGACAGCCTCAAGATGGCAAGACGGGCTCCTTCACATATATATATATATATTTTCTGAAACAGGTTTTTCAGAGCCCAGAATGGTCTCCAACCTGCTACACAGTCAAGAATGACCGTTTTCCCTGTGCCTCTACCTCCCCAGGGCCAAAATTTTTCACGTGCTGAAACACTTCTGGGTTATGTCATGCTGGGATCAAACCTAGGGCTTCGTACATGCTAGGCAAGCACTCTATGAACTTGGCCCCAGCCCAACCCCCTCTGCTTCTGGTGCATGGGGGTACACGCCTCCAAGCACAGTCCTGGGGAGGCGAAGGCAGGAAGATGGTGAGTGTGAGGAGGCCAGCCGGGACTACACAGCAAGGCATTGCCACAAACAACAAAAGCCCAGCTCAAGTCATGCCAACAAAGCTGCGTGGCTCTCATCCAATAGACAGGCTTTTAAATCTGGGAAAGTTACTTATTGTTCGGAGATATTTCTTACGTCAGACGACAGAGGTCGGACCTTTGATTTACTTGTGTTTTGGGACCTGTCATCCAGCAGCACTAAAGCAAAACTTGACTAATACATGGATAAACAGCCTGGACCCATCAGCCAGTATTGTGAGGTCTTGTCTTTTATCTCACAGGTGTTTCTGATTTTATTTCTTTTCTTTTTTTTTTTTTTTTTTTTTTTTTAAGGTTTTTCAAGACAGGGTTTCTCTGTGTAGCTTTGCGCCTTTCCTGGAACTCACTTTGTAGCCCAGGCTGGCCTCGAACTCGCAGAGATCCGCCTGCCTCTGCCTCCCAGAGTGCTGGGATTAAAGGCGTGCGCCACCACCGCCCGGCTGATTTTGTTTCTTAATTAAGCCCTTACACAGATGCTTGAAGGTCCTCTAATTACCACTTACTGATCTTATCACTTCCCAGGTCTGACCTCTGTCTACAAAGAGTTAGTATTTAATCTGCCCATGCTTGCCTCAAACATTGAAATGGTTACAAAGAGTATCTGGTCTGGGGGTTTGCAAAATTATATAAATGATACCAAGTCACATGTATCCCAGGCAACTTATTTCTTTCTCCTCCACAATTCTGGTAATTTACCCCCAATGAAACATGGGCCCTAGCCCTTCCCTATCTGTCACAGCATGGCTATTCCCTGTTGGTGGACACTTGAGTTGTGCAACATAAAGAGAGTGGAAGGGATGTTCTCACAGGCTTATTTGAGGACCTTTTGTTTTTGTATGGTCCTAGGCCTAGAACCCAGAGCCATGTGTACAACAGGCAAGTCTTCTAGCACTGTGCTAACCGCTCAAGATACACTTCCCGTTCCCTGAAGGATCAGCAGACAAGGCACGGATGGTTAAACTGCCATGCATCACAAGGTCACTTGAGCTGAGAACAGAGGCCTAGCAGCTCTTGCTTGGCCTGCCATCCCCAAGTCCATGCTGTTCACCCTGGGGCTCCAGCAGAGGATCCACTTTCCTGAGATCTCCTGGGACTTCTGCACGACCTTCCTGCTGCTTTCTTCCCATTCTCCTCACCAGCACAGTGATTGCAGCTCCTGGTCAGGAGTGGTAAGAGCTGGAAACCGAGCAGGGAATGAGGACCGTTCATCGGCCCTGTTCTTCCTCACACAGCAATTTTCCTAACAGATGCAATTACATCTGAGTGCTGTAGAGAATGAGATCTTATGTTTTATTTCTTTATTCATCATTTTACAAATGGGCTTCACTGTAAAAAGGAAATTGCCTTTGTAGCTCGGTTCTCTCTGCTCCATGCTGGAGGGCTCCAAGCTTTGGTTTTCACAACCAGCTGGGGCCACCGCCACCGCCACCGCCACCGCCACCACCACCACCACCACCACCTTGTTGCCTACAGGGAAGAGTGAGCCAGAGAGGTGGGAAAGAAATCAGGCAGAGTTTACTTAAATTCAATATATTTTTATTCTTTGTAAATACAATGAGTACAGCCTTTTAACTTCACAAATCAGTTAATTCACTTTGTACAAGAGAAGTTTGATTCATCCTATGCTAGTCCAAGTGCTGAATCTCTCTCCCTCAGTGCTAGTACCTAATAAGTCAAAATGTGAAAAGTACAGCAGCTATTTAAAAATGTTTGTTCCTACATTTCCATAGTATAGATTCATACCCAAGGAGCAGCTTAGAGTGTAGGGTGATGTGGGGTGTGTGTGTGTGTGTGTGTGTGTGTGTGTGTGTGTGTGTGTGTATGCATTCGAGGCTTTATTAGAAACCAGAGTTTTCTGAAAGGCATTCAAGACTCCCAGGCTGTTAGCACTGGAATGATCAGGAACCTGTTTAGCAGGCATCTCCGTGAAATTCCTTCTGGCTTGCATGTTCATGTACCGTCTGGTGTGACTTGCTGACCCTGCAGCCTTTGGCTTCAGCACTGTGATGACGGGACAGCGATCAGCCTCACCCAGTCACCGGGCTCCACTTTATTTGGTTTGGCTGTTTGGAGTCGTCTTCCCTGGTCTGAAGTTCTTTCAGGAGAGCTCTTCTGGTTTGTGATGCTAAGTCTTGGCGAGAAACTCCTTTTTGTGGTCAGTTCCTTTGATGAGCTTGCCTGGCCTGTGTGTGGTACCAAGAAAAGAAGAAAAAAGAACGGAAAAGGGGGTGGGGGAGGGGATCACACAGCATAAGCTACATTTCACTTGCTCACTTGGTTCTGAAGGCCACTTAATAAAGTATTATGATAGAAGGGAAACTTTCGATAATACTCTTGATTTAAAACCTAAGCATTATTTTTAAAGTAAAATGCTCCAACCCGACCGAGTTCTGAAGGCCGCAGTATGATGTTACACAAAGCTATTGTTGATCAACTGACTTGATGTGCTAAAGAGGAAAAGAGGGTCGGCTTGTCTTTCAACTTTGAAGAGTTCGGCCGGATCTTCCAGGTCAGAGGCAGAAAGGCTGGCTCGGCCTGTGGTGGCCCCGGTTCACCCATCCCAGGGCACAGCAACAGTAACTGTTTACCACCTGGCTTCCCCAGCTGTCCCGCTTCCGTGGAGCCCTGGGTCATAGCTATTGTTTTGTGTCCACTGGCATTTTTTCCTGAAGGCAATTCATTCCCAGGTTTCTCCTTCCAGGAGGGTGTGTTAGTTGAGGCTTGTCCTGTATGGTAGAAGTCCGTCTGCTACTGCCCCATCTTGGAAAGCGGGTGCTGGAGAGCTTAGATGTCGCTGGATTTGTACATATCTGAAAGCAGTCTTGTAATCGGCACGTTGCCGATGGTTTTTTTGAAAAACACTTCTTCTATGGTGGACGGGCTAATTGAACGTAAAGCTGGTAAAAGCAGCAGGAGTTTCCCAAAGCGGCAGGGTTGAGTGGGGTATCTGCAATAGGAGAAGCCATGAAATGTCAGAGCCCCATAGAGGCAGGGACTCACATCTTATACTTGAACACACATCAGCCCTAGGGTAACTTCCTGACCTGGGCCTCTGCCGGAACATGCTGTAGACTGCTGCAGTAGCATGCTGCAGTGGAGTCCAGGACAGGAGCCTCTGTCCCTGTTTCACAGGTGGACTACTGGAATCCCAAAACAGGAGTGGTACTGCCCAAATCACATGTGCTTGATTGCAATCTCTCTCTCCCTCCCTCCCTCCCTCCCTCCCTCCTCCTCTCTCTCTCTCTCTCTCTCTCTCTCTCTCTCTCTCTCCTCTCTCCTCTCTCTCTCTCCCTCTCCCCTCCTCTCTCTCTCCCCCCCCTCCTCTCTCTCTCTCTCTCTCCCTCCCTCCTCTCTCTCTCTCTCTCTCTCTCTCTCTCTCTCTCTCTCTCTCTCTCTCTCCCCCCCCAACATCAGCAAGGGGAGCACATTTTTATTTCTAGACGAATCAGCTTTAACACACCTGATGCTAATTTAAAATCAAAGAACAAATATAACGTTATCACTGTAGGGAATGACCACAGGGGTTGATTATGAAGCTGGCAGTGGGATTCATATTTTTAAATTCTCAACACTCTTGAACAGACTATTCCTCTCAAATAAGATGGCTTCTTTTTCTAAGCAATTCTCCCAATTATTATTCAGGCATTACACTTTGTCACTCTCAGGAATAATTCCGCCCTTATTACGCTGCAAATTAAAGACTGAGTCCTGTTGGGCGGCAGTGCCACCAGCTTTCACGTCAATGAAATTGGCACGTAATTAAAGATGGGAGAAATTGCTTAACAATTTCCTTACTTGATGTCCAACACACACTTGTACTCAGATGTACGTGTTCAATTCCCACTGTCTTTAGAAGCTGTACTCCACCCCTCATGCCCTGGTACCACTCCAGCCAACGGCTTGGAGCCGGGCATCAGTACCCTCTAGAGGAAAGCATTCCCCCACTGAGAAAAAGCCACCTAAAACCGAGCTCCAGGGACATGTGTGTGACTGAGCCATGTTGCACCTAAGCCACAGGTGCCAGAAACCGAGAGGTATCAAATTCCCATGCAGGAACTCGTTAACTGTGTGTAACTGCCTGATAGCCCCCTCTACAGAGAGAGTCTAGGAGAACAACCGCCACACTGTCTCTTAGCTCTGGACAAAGAAATCCCCCTCTCAGCCAGATATAAAGCTTAGAATTCACTCTGGTTACCCTGTTTGGCTCTCACATAATCAAGTTTCATAGGAACTCTTAGCCAGGGCACCAGACAACACTTGATAAGGTGGTGTGGAAATGATGATGGTTATCTACAGTAAAAATAAAAAATGTTGGATGTGGTGGTTCATACTGGAATCCCAGGACTCAGGAAGTTGAGGCAGGAGGGTTGCCATGAGTTCAAAACTAGCCTGGACTACATAGTGACAGTGAATCCAGGCCAGCGTGGCTTATAGAATGAGACTCTCTCAACCAACCAAAAGGAGCCCAAGGAAACAAAAGCACCAGCCAACAACATTAAGAGGCAGAAAAGCAAAACACCTGAACGTCACCTCTCGTTCTCTGAGGCTTCTGCCAGGCTTTCTTCAGCTCTGGTCACTTCTCTCTTCAGCCGCTGTTTCCCTTCCCAGGATTAGACAGAGCTCTGGAGAGCTGAGGTATCAGGGACACCTAGACAGTCTCTACTATGTCTGTTGAATCCACCCAACACACTAAACCTTTCCCATGATGAGAAACTGTTGCAGGAAATAGCATATGCTAGAAAGGATGGATTTGGGAGAATCCAGAAACCACTGATAATTAAACCGCCTTGCGTGGGTGTTGGAATGAACCTAGAGCCTCGTGCGTGCAAGGCAATCAAGTGCTCTGCCACTGAGCTGCACCCAAGCCCAAGAGTTAACTCCTGATTGTCTGCAAGTGGATTATCCACTCATCTCTCCCACCCCCTTTATTCTCTAGTTGGGAAAGAGTTGGTCACTCGGTCAATAAGAATGGCTTATTATACATGGAGTAGAGTGCCACCTAGAAACAATAACAATGTGTTTGTCAGTGTGTCTCACTGCTCAAGATTATTTTGTAGTGGATTTAAGGACCACTCCACCAAATGAGCGCATGCCTGGTACTGTTAACTGGGCTAAGAACCTGTGACTGAGTAGGTCATAGGCCTTAGGGGAGCGCCTACCAGTATTTTGTTGCAGAATGGACACAGTGTCAAACTGCTCTCTAAATACTTATCCGTATAGCCATAGATCAGTGCAACTCTCACCCCTCATCAGGGGAGCGGCTTTTTCCAGGATACAATGCTTACTCCAGAGACCCACACAACAGATCAGACTGTAGCGAGGTTGAGGCTGTGGAGCACTCAGCCATCAAGGGGACATCTGTATCACACACCCCCACCCCCACCCCAGGGCTCATTTTAGAAGTAGGATGGAAAGATTGGAAGAGCCAGAGGTGGTAGAAGACGGCTTTGAAAGAATGTTCTCTAGCCACGCGGGCCCATAGAACACATGAACTCTCAGTGGTCATGGTTGCACGCTCAAGACCTGCATAAAATCAATTCAGCCGAAATTCCAGTATGAATGGGGAGGGGCTTGGGAAGTCTCACCCCTCGATGGGGCACTTTTGATGGTTGATGACTGCCGGGAGAGGAAACATCTGAGGGATTGCAGCCCCAGGTAGGTTGCCATAGCACATCAGGCAGACCAGCTGGACTCAATGGGGTTGGGAGGGATATGGGTGGGAATGGGTTTGGAAATTAAAATAAAAATTAAAATTAAAATTTTAAAATTAAAAAATAAAGATATTTTAAAATTAAAAAATAAAGATATATTTTTAAATTATTTTGTAGAATATGTACCCCTGACTTCATCTATTAGCATGAATAGTTAGAAGCTTCTTTTTCAGTTCTAAATATTTTGTGCCTATCACAGATTCATAATCTTCAGTTCTAATACGGCACTGTGACATGCCAGTTCCTACATCCTAGGTAACTAGAGAAGCCAATTACAGGACACTAACAGACACATAAGTTTGCGTGTTAGCTTTACAGTCCGATTTCAGATTTTGTTTTCCAGACAGGGACATACTTAGAGTGTTCACTGATTTGAAGGAGCTAAGCCAAAAAGGAATCATTACTTTGCCATACATCTGACCCTAGACATAAGCTATAGCTCAGCTGATAGCGTGAGCTAGGAGTTCCACGACAAAGCAGGCATCTTCAGCACTTCCAGACATTGAGGGTGAGATGCGGCGTCCTCACCGTGCCTCCAAAATAGACTGTGATCCTCTGTGGTGGGATTCACCCAGGCCATCCTGTCAGTTCCTGGAGTACCCGGCTGTCTCAGAGTGCCCCTGCTCATCTCTGCAGAACCTCACACAACACCTCCGCAGCCCCCACCCCCAGACGCTGCACCCACCCCTCCCTACTGAAATCCCCCCACCGTGCAAGGCCCTCTCACCTTCATTCATCAGCCTTCCTGGACCTCCCTCGCTCTTTCCCGATTAGAATGTATGTCTCCCACCCCTCACTTCCTCCCCTCTCCTGTGCGGAGTGATGCTTCTGCCCACTTCACACCAGGGGAAGGGCAGTCCCTTCTGATAATTTCCGTCACCCGCCTGTGCCTGGTGACCACCTAGCAAAGGCCTGCCCGAATCAATAACTGAAGTCCATGGTCTCCATTTAGTGTTCTGAATATTTTCCTAGCTCTGCGTGCCGAAGGTTAGCTATGGTACATGAGCAGCCATAATGGGGGAAACATGCCCGCATTATGTATGGTTCCATTTTGTAATTTTGAATTACAAAACTAAGTGCCTATGATTCGTATTCTATAGTTCAATGTGGGTTTCACATTTCCCAGCCATTGCACTTTACTTTGGAAAAGCATGCTTCCATGAGCTACCAAGCAATGCCATTTCAATGGTGTTTTATAAACACAGAGCAGTTTTACTCATTCAGCATTCAAAGGGTGATTTATGACATAAATAAGGAGCTCCTAGCATGCACAGGTACTGCCGACTTGGGGTTTCTCTGACCCCTGAGGGGAGGGAGGCATTAATGGCCGCTGTCCATACAGTTATCACCACACGGTGTCTACAGCTAGTGCTGAGGTGATGGAGACAGGCTTCCATGGGTCCCTCTTGCTTCTCTTCCAACCTCAGATCCACCACAGTCCCAACCTAGGAAGCTAGAGAGATTTCATTACTCTTTTAAAAGCCTGCCTCTTTGCTTCTGAAAATAGAATCAGAAAGTCCACACTGGGGCTGGGCCAGGGGAACTTATTGAGTGCTTGTGTTCGACAGTTTCTACCAATGTGTCAGTCAGAGGACCCTGCCTAGACAGAAGTAATGTGGTGGGTGCTGGGACCTCAGGCCAATCACCAAACCCAAGCTACAGTCGTGGCCAGAGTAAAGATGGCCTTGGTGAAGCCCTGTGCTCCTTGAACTTGGGGTTGGCCTCTGAAGAAGGGCACCTGTCCAAAGATGATCTGAGCACTTTCTGATCTAGCCACCTAATGTTTCAGACTAAGTTGCTTTTTGACTCTCCGCGCCCAGACTCACCAATGTGAGCAGCTCCTTTGGGTTGGGCAGCTTCTTCAGCCAGCACAGCGCACTGTGTCGTCTGGCACAGCTCTGGACTCCCATCACCCAATTCAATGTGCCCTTCTCACCCTCCCCCAGAGACAGGTGAGGACGTGGATTCCAACTAAATTAACTGGCTGGCAACAGGATAATTAGGCACGACGTTTGAACTGGCTTCTTACTGCCCGCCGGAACATTCACAATGGAGGCAATTTTCTTAAGTACATGTTCACAGCAAATAGCGGTCACCTGGTGTGGATGTAGCTGTTGAGCGTGAGCTGAGCTTCGTCCTGGAGAGCTGCAATGGCCGCGGCATTCCGGAAACTTCTCAGTTCAGAACCGCTGTGTGTAGGAACTAGAAATGAAGACCGGGAAACTGTGAGAGACAGAACAGGGGGGACTCTGGGCTCACAGGGCACTGGACGTGGATGACTACCTGGAAAGCATGCAGGGCTCCACAGCTGTGGAAGACCAGGCCAAACTGCCCCCCCAGCACCCCCCCCACCCCCCACTCCCCCCACCCCCGACCCCCACCAGGTCAGTCTAGAGCTAGACTTTGAAGTAGCTGAACTAATGGGGTGGAGAAAGGAGGAGAGGGAGAGGTGGGGTCTGTCTGTGTCTGCTTACCAGCTTTGAAAGTGACAATGCATTTCAGACAGGCAAATTCAGTGGCATCTAACCGGAGCTGTCGGAACCTCGCCACCACCTCCTGCAAAGCCTGTATTTCCGAGATGATCTTGTTCAGCTTCTGGGAGTCTGTGTTGTCACTATTCATGCCTAGAATTGAAATATGGGATAAATACCCTAATATGAAGGCATTTTCATGTTTTAATATTGATTTTTGACAAAATCCTGCATATCAATATCTATTCAATTGTCACTCTGAGATATCTGATTCCATGTAAACTGGCTATATTGTATGAAAGTTAATATAAAATCTTCTCTTGGATGATAACAAACACAGTAATTTGCATTTAAATAACAATGCAAGCAGTCATGAATACAACAAAACAACATTATTTGCATTTAAATATAGATTTATAAATGACAGGTATACTCTATTGTTCAGCAGGAATTTGTTATTCTTTACATGTTGTTCTTTTCCAGTAATGTATTTTTATGGTAATTTCTACAACAAAGTCATTAAATTGTGCAATTCTTACCAGATACAGCCAGTAGAGTGTTAGCATCAACCGGAATGGCCCATTGTGCTATTCCTAGAACAAACAGTTCTCTCCAAGCATCTTCCAAAAGCATCAGCTGTCATACAATAGATGTATAATATAATATAGTGTGTAATTTATAAATTTATAAACAATTTCCATATGTAAATTTCCTTTAAAGTGTTTTAAATGCCTGTCTTGGTTTAAAAAAAAATCCAAATAATCTATTTTCCTCTATTTCCCACATTTTCTCTCTCTGAAGCTGTGCCTATATAGACACACAGACATGCACTTCAGAGTCAGCCATTCCAGTTCCTCCAAGCTCCCTTCCCTCAGGAAAGGCTTTGCCTCTCAGATCTTTGCTGCCACCCATGCCTGGCCACCTAGACCTTCTCTAGATACCTGAAATCCATAAAATGCCACCAGCGGCTGAGCAGGTGGCTTGCTTGGGTGTACAACACTGAAGACTCCTGACTAAGCTTGTAGGTCAGGGTCCCCCTCTTCCTGGAGAGTTGAAGGGGCTGGGAGAGGGGTAGAGGGAGAGGGAGAGATCACTAATTCCCAAGAGGCGTGAGGGAAAATCAGGGTGTAATTATGTTAATCGGGTTTTGCTGAGTTTACCTCGCCTTCCTGCCTGATTTTTCTGAGACTCATAAGTGGACAGCATCAAGGTGCTTGTCATTTTCATTCTAATAAAATGTGCCATTGAATATTTAAAATGGAAATATGGCTCCTTTTCCAAATTAATATACTGGATTCCACTTTCCACTTCACTGTAGTTTGCTTCTTGTTGAAGGGTTTCCAGCAAATGGCTAAGTGGCAGACAGGAAGGGGATTTTATTTGGATTAGCATCTACAAATTCTTGTTTTTAGAAAAAAAATCGCCAATTTATATATATACATGCATGTGTGTGAGTCTGTGTGTGCACACACATACACAGAGAGGGAGACGGGGAAGAGAGGGAGGGAGAGAGACAGAGAGAGATGGAGAGATGGAGAGAGAGAGAGAGACAGAGAGAGACAGAGAGAGAGAGAGACAGAGACAGAGACAGAGAGACAGAGAGAAAGGGAGAGAATGAGAGAGTACAAAAGATTAAAGGTCAAGCAGTAACCCTGGCCAAAGATATTACCTCCAATCTTGAAAACAATTCTCTATGTTTAAAAATCTTTCAAAAACCAGCCAGTGCTGGATGATTTATATGAAAGAATTTACTTCTGAAAGCTAAGAATCATGAAGGTTTGTAACTAAATTCACAATTAGACCAAAATGTTTAATTTTTTAAATGCTTCATTTTTTTTTTATTTTATTGCATTGAGTACAGAAAATGATTTTTTAAAATTAGAGGTAAACAATAATGGTGGCCATATTTCATGCTAGGATATCAACATATGCTTGGCTTATTGTCCCCTGAAGGAAGCATCTGGAAGGATGCTCTTATGATTAGTTAACTATGAAAAGAATTAAGCCCCCTGCTCTTTGAACTGTGTGTAACGCGGTGACAGAGCACTCGCTGGGCATAGGCAAGGTCCAGGTTTGATCCCCACTATCCAAAAAGGAAAAAGAAGCAAAAAATTGCTTATTAGCCTTTTGAAAAAAAAATTGTTGTTAATTTCTGTGAGTGCTCTTAGCAGCAGGTAGCTGTGGCCACTCTGTTCCTTCCCTCCTCTTAAGATTAAAATATGTTGACAAGGACAACTTTTAATATTCCTAAAATTTTATGGGGTTTGCTAAAATGCAGGTTTTTAGATGCACATAATTTTCTTACTTCTGAACATCATTTATAACCAAAGAATTGTGTAAAATTACTATTTTTTTGCTTCCAAAAGTTCTAAAAGCAGTGAAAGGATTGAGGGGGTGTCATATGGTAACAGCATACTTCCCTCCCCATCGATGCCCCCAAGGAGACCAACAAGAATAAAACAAGATACTAGTCAACAAGACATGTGTCACTTGGTTCTCCATGGTGATAAGCTACTGGTCCAAGTTGTACACATCACAGCAGAGACTATAAAGCTGAAGATATAAAATCTCACACGCCAATACTTCCCCACCTTCTATTCTTCTCGGCTTGAGCGTTCGTAAGCAAACCTCATTTTATCAATTGTTTTCCTTGTAGCCCAGGGTGGCTGCAAACTCCAGGGTCTCCTGCCTCAGCCTGAGTGCTAAGAATACAGTGGTGCATCCTCATGCCTGGCTTGTCTCCAGTGTTAAAGAACATTAAGATTTTTAACATTGGATGTTTCAGTTAAACTTTAGAAAGAGATCATGTACTTCTATATGATTCTGTATGTGTTTTACATAGAGCTCATCCAGCTACCCTGAAATAACATAGTTACATTTCTAGCAAATGATTCCAAAGGTAGATATTTTGAACCTCTAGAACGATGTTGGTAAAGATAAATGTTTTCCCGGTGTTCAGAGTGTATGCCTGCCTTGCTGGTTCATGCAGGTGGCATCCAGCTTATAAGACTGAGGACTGTTGCTTCCTTTCCGCCCCCTGGTGCCCTGCTGGTCATACCTGGTCTTGCAAAGACAAGGTGGAAAAGGCTGGTACACTCTTGGCCCACTTGATGCTCATAAAGAGAAGCCTGGCAGCTGATTCACACACCGACTCAGTGGCCACTTCATAGAGATACATTGGGGTCCCGTTCACTTCGTGGGGATACTGGGAGGAGGGAAAAGGAGAAAAGCCTGGTAGTGAGGGAGCCACAGCTCAACGTCCTGGTTAAACAGAGGGTGGGGTGAAGGAATCTGGTGCTCTGCTTATGCATCCAGTTGCCTCCAAATATCTCTAGCTACAGAATTTGGGAATGGTGTTTATTGGGGGAAGCATGTTTCCATTCTTTGAGGGTCTCTGTCTTCCAAAGGGGTGTCTGGCTATTCTGTCCCTGCAGAAAAATTTTCTTGGGCTGAGCCAAGTCTCAGGCCTGGCTCCCAATTTAGAACTGCTTGCATTTGTGTAAATAAAAATAGATGTGAAAAAAAGTATAAATTAATAGGCATCCCAAACACAAATATGCATATGAGTATTTTTAGAAAGGATTAGTATATTATGGAAATATTTCAATTAGACATCTTAATCATTCACAGAGCATTCCCATTCATAACTGACAACATATTCATAACACTACTTTCCAGAGCTTATTATACACATCAAGGGTAAGAAAGCAGTATTAAATATTGTGCGTGTGTATGTGCCCAGGTGTCTGGCTTTCCTGCAGTGTGAGGCTGCAGCTGGTCTCCTCTGGGGGAAATCCCAGGTTCTCCTTCAGCGGGGGGCCTTGGGAGGAATCAACTCCAGGCTTGGGATGCAGTCCCTAGGTGGCAGCCTTCCCAGGTACTTCAGGCCGCGCCCCTGCTGGTCGGGCCAATCCTGGGAGTGGTTTAACAGTGGGTAGGCAGCACGGGGAAAACAGCCCTTCTAACAGTGATGTCTACATTTTTCTCTCTTGCACTGAAACCGTCCAGGATTATATAGATCCCGGGGCACCTCGGGAGGCCCCTTCTCCCAGGTGGAGTTAACTACAGTTCTAGCCTGTTCTGGCCTCTGGGGCATCTAAGGCTGCACTCAGGGATTAGACAGCTTCACTCACCAACCGTGCATTCCCTACAGGGGCCGGTGTCTGGCCTCCACCCCATTTCTCAGGAGCGCGCGTTTGTAGCCGCTAGGAGAGTGGTCTACTGTGCATTAAACATCAGTATCTTTGGCTCAACAAGACTTAGGCTATCTGGGAATGCCTCCACCTTTCCCTGACGTCTCAGCTCAGAACAGAGCGTGTCTCCTCCCCCTCCCTTTGCTCAAAGAGGAACTTCTTTGGACCCAGCAAAGCCACTAACCTTGGGCGTGGGCTGAGCCAGGCTCACGAGGGTCTGCCGTTCAGGGGTGGCAGACACCGCGGCCAACTCCAGACTGTGCGGCTCCAGCTGAGTGACCGCCGTGAAGAAAGCGGGGGCGGGCAGTGCCGCCGAGGGGAAGTGCGTAGCGGTCCCGTTGTCTTCCTTGTGCCCACGGAAGTAGAGGGCCACCTGCTTGCGGATGGTGGACGTCCGAGGGCCCCGCTCGTGCTGCACGGCTACAGAGACAAACAGAAGGACACAGGCCTGGGATTACAGGCGCCGCGACACTTGGATGCAGCCCGGCCGCTGCTCCATCCTCACGTCTGGGACCGCAAGGTCAGCCAGGAGCGAGAGGGCATGTGGTGCAGGGCGCTTAGGCACGTTTCCCCGGCACAGGTGGGAAGCAGCAATCTGAGATGGTGCTCAGAGGTCCTCCCTACCCAGGAAAACCAGGGACCCTATGGGCCTCTGAAAGAACAAGCTGCCCTCGCTCCCACCACCAAGAAAGGAGCACCACACACAGCCAGGTCCGCAGAGATCGACTCCCTCCACCTCCAAGTCTCCCCCACAAATGGTCTTGGCCTCAGGGGAGAAAAGTACCCGAGGCCACGAACCCTGGGGGATGGGACAAGGGAGAGTCGTCTCCCCTGTGCGTGTGGAGGAAGTCAAGGGAGATGTGGCAATTACCACCAACAGTTTAAACAAACAAATTAATTCAGGGCAATCTTCTTCAGCAGAGCGTGACAACTTGTCAATACATAAGTTCAACAGGTTGGACGCTCCCTCCTGCTTCCGGAGCGGCGGAGAGGGGGCACTCCAGACGGGCTCCGTGCCTCAGGCAGGGTGCCACGGCAAGGCTCACTCTGCACCGAGTCCCCATCCTCTCTTCCACCTTGGCCGAGGCCCAGTGATGCCCTTGACAAGTCCCAACCCCGGGAGGGTGGGAAGTGCAGCTTGGGCCACTTTCTCGGGCCCGAACTTCTGGAAGACCCAGGCCTGGCTCAAATTTGGGCCTCAGGGGAGCGGGGTGTTGCCAGCAACCCTTAAAGGGTGTGCCATCCTGCTCCTCTAGCCCCTTTTCTCTCTCTTCTTGTCCACCGAGAAAAGGGTCTTGAAAAGCTTAGGGCCAACTCAACGGCCACACTGGATTTGCCAATGAGGACTTGAAATCTCTCATTTTTCCTATCTCTGCACTTGGAGAGTTCCAGAAGACTTAGGCGATTGTGAGATCTTAGGGAGATTATTAAAGACTGCAGGAGGAGGTGCAAAATGGCATTTGGGCTCTAAGCAGGAAATAGACAACTAAGGGCAGGGATTCATGTCCTCAAGCACTGCCTCAGTGAGTGTGGTGTGGGGCGCAAGTTTCCCTTATGGGCATGGGACTTGTTCCGGGAATACAGTTAGGTCAGCTGGGGACTGCTGCAATCTCAGGGAGGCTAGGACTGACAGCCTAAGGCCAATTCCCAGCATCTGGAGAGAAGAGTTCTGTTGGGGAAGTGATTTACATGCATAGGAGTGCCATCTATTTGCTGTACATATAATTTACTTACTACTCAATCAACATTAGAAGAATAAAGACATGTACTGATTACCATCTTTGTTCATGTTGACTTCCAAACACTTCTTCAGTCGACACGCCCTGCACTGGTTTCTGTGTGTCTTGTCTACCGGGCATCCTCCCTAGAACAGATCACAGGCAGTCAGAGGCCCCCCGGACCCTTAGGTGGGCACCGGAACCCAGTCCTGGGGTGGGGATTCTGGCCAGCCACCGACCCAGGGCGGAGGTCCAGACCCAGTAAAATGGGAGAACGATGGGCACTGGCAGGTCCAGGTAAGTAAGGGGCTGGGATTCCCAGGGTTGGGACAAGAAGACCAGTCCTCGACCTCAGGGAGTTGGGCAAAGAGAATGATCTTTCTGGATTTTCGAGGAGCTAAGAGAAGAGGCCAAAGAGGGAAACCGTCTCGATCTGAGGAGCGGAGCACATACGACGCTTTTCAGGACCGAAGACAGCGACCTGGCCCTGTGCTCTGCAAGAAGCTGGCCTGTAGGGTAGACCTGACGCCGCCTTTTCTCACTATTCTTTGCCTGTCTGGCCTTGAGTCTATTGCTTGGGGCCATCTTCTGAGTGAGCCCATTGCTCTGACAGACAAACCTCGACGACTTAGTCTTCACTGCCCTGTGTCCTTTCCTTTGCTGCTGTAGTTATACCGTCCTTATACAACCACAAAGCTGAGACAACCCTGAGGTCTAAGGCTCAGTCTAGGTCCATGGGAGCAGCCATCCCTGAAATGTGAGCCGGCAAGCCAGGGCAAGGCTCGCACGTAGAGAGAGTGTGGGGGCAGAGCTGAAGGCCTGAGGAAAACTCAGGAAGACGCAGGGAGACACTGTCAAACAGCGAGTAATTAGCAAGAGAATGGGTGAAAAGAGAGTTGTTGCTTTACAAATATTTATCTGAAAAAGATAGTTGTTGCTTTACAAATATTTGTCTGACAGGGATTAACAATCAAATGTCTAATGTGATTTTTCTGTGGAGGAAAAAAAAAGGTGAATAAAAATATTTGGCTGGATGGGGTGGTGCACACCTTTTATCCCAGCACTCAGGAGGCAGAGGCAGAGGCAGAGGCAGAGGCAGAGGCAGAGGCAGAGGCAGCTAGATCTTGGTGATTTCCAGGTCAGCCAGGACTACATAGTGAGACCCTGCCTCCAAAAAAAAAAGAAAGAAAAAAAAAAAAGACATTAACAGATAAGCCCCCCCCCCCTCCCTGTTTAGTGCTGCGGTTGAAAGCAGCCTTGTGTTGACCATTGAGTTGTATCCCCAAGTTGAGGGCTTTGGAAACACAGCCTTCCTGTTCTATAGTTAGGATGACCTGGAATTTGCTGTGTAGCCTAGGCTGGTCTTAAATCTGTGACCCTCCTGCTTTGCCCTGCCACCACAGCCAGTTCAGATAATGTTCCTTTCAGTGTTTGTCTGTTCTGGTGCCTTTACTGAGGGAGCATGCATACAGATACATAACGTGTGTAAGTTTTTGTTTTGAAGTGTTGAGGACTGAACCAGGGCTGCTCAAGCATCCCCTCCCCCCCAGAGTGACACTCCTAGCCTTCTGCATAAGTATTTTATACACAGAAAAGGGGTTTTATTTTGCTTCACAATTTTAAATATTCATAAACACAGAAGTGGGAATGAGTACATTGCCTCCCTGAAATATCCATAAGGAAAATTACACACATGAGCGCATGGCTTTGCACAGTCTTCTTCACCCAAGTCAAAACAGGCTGGCTTGGGCTGTCCCCAGCATGCATACACACTCAACCAAACCAAAGCAAAATATGTTAATTTGTTCAAAGTAAAGGTAGATGGATGTTCACAGTGACTTCTAAATGTCAGCATTGCTTTAAATAAGAAAGTGAAATGATCTGGACTTAGTCTTAGAACCAGAGAAGAAGGACATGAATTTTTAGTGCCTAGGAGAAAATTAGAGCATCTTTGGCCAGCACCAAAATAGTTCACTGTTAAGAGTTTCAGATTATTTATTATCAGATGTAGTTGAATATCCAATTGGAATGATATCTTCTCCAGTATTTTGAGAAACACATAAAAACAAAATGTCTCAAGTGGGTTTTCAAATCACATCAAGTGTGTATACGTATCTGGAGTGGGTGAGCCAGAGAGAGCGCCTCAGTTTGACTCTTTTATTCTTTTAAGGAAGGGACACAGGCCTGACAGATTTGTTATCATCCCTTTGCAAGTGCTTTGGACTGATAAAAATGTCTCTGAATTGATAGCCATCTCCCAAAAATCGTAACACCTCAGATTTCCCAGTTCTATCTGTTGCATACAAGTATAAGATAATGTGGCCTGGTGTGGTGACCCACACCTGAGGCTGAGGCAAGAAGATCAAGAGTTTCAAGCCAGCCTAGGCTACAGACCAAGACCTTCCTCAGACAACAGCAGCAACAGCAATCTAAGTGGATACCTGTTCAGATCTGGTGCTCTCCAGAACCTCAGACCTATGGAGCTTCTGGGATACAGCCCTATGTGTGTATAATGTGATATCGATGAGCTAGACACTGAGAACCCAAGAAAGCAGGTCGGAGGGGTGCAGAGGTCAAAGTAACTTATCTAAGGGCATATGTCCTCTTGTGTGTGCTGCCAATCAAAACCTATCAGAAGTGCCTAAGAGCAGATGTTGCAGTGAGCAAGAACACACTGTAATTCACTAGCCCCGATGACTCTGTGAGTTGATATGTATCCTATACATAATTAGTGGGTGGTTTTCATCATTTGGTTACCAGAGGATGCCTCCTGACTAAGGCACTCTTGGGAATCTCCCCAGGAGTAAAGGTGAGACCTCTGTAGAATGTGAGCAAAGTGTAGGGACCAGAAGGCTGATCTCCTGGGTTGCCATGAGCCACTGAGGTGGGAATGGAGTCACAGGTGGTTCCTGTTAGCTCTGGTTGGAAGCTCTAGCTGGGCTCAGCTCACTTCCCGACTGCTCTGTCTCTGTGAGATAGTCCAGCCTGTGCCAGACTGAAACACAACTCCCAGGCTCGTCTTGTAAGCTGAATAGGGAAGAGAACTTGATGGACCCTACCCTCCTGGAGCCTTCCCTTCTGGTTCACCCTGCATTTGCTGAGTCCTTACACCTGCCCACTTCCAGAGCAGCCCCGCATCTGCAGAGCCCAAAGGATGCAGCACCTGTCTGGCAAGCACCATGGCTTCCAGTAGCCAGCCTTCACTTTGGAGTCTTAGCTAAGGGTAGTGGTGACCCTGGCTCAGATGTGCCATCCGTGGGTGTAGACTGAGCTTGGCTGCTGCTGAGAACGGGATGTGGAGGGTGGTCAGCCTAAAGGGCCCTTTCTTCTGCTTGCTACTTGTGCGTTAGATTCTAACGTTCCTGGAGTTCTCAGGGCAGGCTTTTCAGACTGGGTCCGGGCAGGGCCTTACTCAGTGTCAAAATGTGACCAAGGAATAAAAAATAATAATAATAAAATAAAAAATAAATTAAGAAAAAGGAAAACCGTGGGAGTTCTGACTCCCCCTGTAAACTCCTCCGCCATCCTTAACCTTATCTGGCCTTTCCAAAGGGCCACCCAAAGTTGAGGCAGAGAGTGGGGAAGAGGACACAGGTCAGGGAATTCAGAGGAAGCCTTGGCAGAAATGAGGTGGGGTGGGGAGCAGAGGGGAGCCCTGGCAGCTCAACCCCAAAGAGTACCTGGTTTCCAGACTTGCAGACATAGGTCCGATTCCTTCGGATGCTCCTCTTGAAGAACCCAGAACAACCATCGCAGGCGTAGACCCCGTAGTGCTTGCCGGAGCTGCGGTCACCACACACTTTACAGGGGATGTCTAGAATGCGGCCTGAAACCGCAGGGAAGACCGAGAAGAGGGAGAAAGGGTGAGCGGGAGCGTGGGGAGGAGGAGAGGGAGGAAAGGGGAGAGGGGGAGAGAGATGCTAAGCAATCTGACCTCTGAGGGGATTAGCATCGGAGCTGCGGTAAAAGCAAATAATGAAGAGATTTTAGAGCCAAACTTTTTTTCCTTGAGCAAGTGTCGGCTTCCTACAATGAGCATTATTCATGCACCGCTACATGTATTTGGGTCTCCTCTAATCGCCGAGACCCATTTTGGAATAAAAGATTACGGCAGGCCCGGGCAGCAGCTCGGCCCGCCGCCGCTGCCTTTCTGCTCCGCGGAAAGTTTGGCCGCCTCCCTCCTCCGCTCTTGCATTTAACAGAAAAAAGTTGTTAGTAAGCGCGCAAGGAGACAAACTTGAAATGTAAAAGGGGGGGAAAAAAGAAGAAGAAGAAAAACAAACACGGCTGGAACCGGGGATGGCAGCTGGGAGGCAAGCGAGTTTTCTCTGAGCTGAGCCCGGCGGTTGTTATTATTAGGATTATTATTGTGATGCTAATCCTCAGATTATTAATGATAATAAGGGTAGTGGTAATTGCCCAACTTTCTCTTTACCTATGGAAAAATGCTTAGTGCTTCACGTTTGAGAAATCATTTCTTTTAGGAAAAAGTTGCGGGGGAGGGACGTAACCACCGGTCTAGGAGTTAGAGCTACCCAGTTTGTGGCTTTCTAGATGGGGTAGCTGGAGGCAGTTACCTATGCCTCCTCTACCCCCAAGTCCTCTTCCCCTAAACACTGGTCTCTTCTCCCCTACCCCTTATCCTGGGAGCATCTTCCTCTGCATGTTCCTACTGCTGGAGGAAGGGGGGGGGTCGGTTTTTTTTTTTGAATGGCTCCAATTTGGGGGGAGGATTGCTACCCCACACAGGAGAACTATGCTTGGACTCTCCAAGCCTGTTGAGGTCTCTGCTCCGCATTAGGTCGAGGGAAATAGGAAGGGGTGTGTGTGTGTGTGTGTGTGTGTGTGTGTGTGTGTGTGTGTGTGTGTGTTTTCTCTCGGGCCCTAGTCCAACAAGTGCCTGAAGCAGTTTACTGACGTAGAAATTCTTCCGAAAACAAAGGGAATATTTGTTAAAAAAAAAAAAAGTGTTAACATCATTTAAAAAATAGTTAATAACAATTCACACCACCTGATTTCCCCATCGCCACAGGTCAGAGGCATTCCAACCCGGGCCCAGGCGATCTCGGGGCCTCGTGGGAACCCGACAGCGGTTCCTGGAGCACCCAGATTGGGGGCGGGAGAGGCGGCGGCGGTGGGAAGCCCCGAGCCAGCGGAGCTGGGGAGGTGAGGGCGCTGTCTGCGGAGGCCCGGAGGCGACGGAGGGTAGGAACCGACTCCCGGCGCCCGAGGCGCCTGGGCGGGCTTGCACGCGGGGCCTTGGCCTCAGCCTCAGGTGGGGGCGGGAGGGGAGGGGAGTGCGGGGGACCCGGCAGGGGGAGGTCGGTGAGGACCCGGCTCAGCCGGGGTAATTACAACCCCGCCGCAGCACCTGCCTATAGAGCCACCAGTGACCCGTCAAAAAGAGTAGCATGGGAATTCGGACGGCGACAAAGGCTGGCGGGGAGGCGTTCGGCGCTGCGGCCACCGCTTCGGCGCCCCCTCTCCCGCAGGGCAGGAGCGGGGAGGGCGGGGTTGGAGAGAACCGAGAGTGGGTCTTGTCCTCCACCCCCTGGGGCCTGTCACTACTCCCCCCGACAACTCGCGGTCGCGCCTGAACCGCGGTCGCCAGCTCCGCGGCCCAGCACTCACTCTGGGAACAGTGAACGAGGGTCTCGCCTCTTTCAACCCTTCTCCCTGGCTAACCCAGGCGCCCTGGTCGCCTGGGACCCGTACTAAGGGCTCCGTAGCACTGTCGCCCCAGCTGCCCTCCTCTTCCCGGTGGCACCGGTGGGCGGTGATGCCCAATGAGCCCACAGGGGAAGCGGGGGTGGGGGGTGGGGGGGTGGGCACTCTAAAAAGCCCAGGCTTCCCATCCAGACTGGAGGCTAAGGTCACAGATGTCTGCAGAACCCGAGTGGGGCGAGCAGCCCAGCGCGGGGTGGGTGACCCCGTCCTGGCTTGCTGGTCCGCCCAGGCCGAGGAGAAACGGGGAGCTGGGCTGGGGCGGGGCCCAGAAGGGAGGGAAGCGAAAATTCCAGGGCACGGAGGGTCGACGCCTCAGACTCCGCCACCCAGCCACGTTAAGGTGACTTGGGGTCACAGACAAGCTGGTTGACTGCTGCAAAGCTCCTCTCGTTTAGCTAGCCCGGGCGAGCTCAAACGTGAGTCCAGCCGAGTTTCCTGAGGCTGGAAAACGGTTCTTAACTTCCCTCCCCAGGGGGTCCCCTCGGGGCTTTTTGTGTGTCATAATTGCCTAAAGATATATGGCAGCTTCGATTACTGTAATTACCATCAGAGGCTGTTGAAAGAAGTTAGTCTGGACTGCAAGGGTGACTGGCCAGGGTCTTGTTACCACCCAGGCGGGGATCCGGGTGACAACGCTCTGCTCTCCAGCCGGGCGAAGATGAAGACCTCCCCGCCCGGCAGGGTCCAGACCCGCCCCGCGGCTGCAGACCCCCTTCACTGCCTAGGCCACAGGGCCGTGGGTTTCCCGCTGGCCACAGCCACGGTCTGAAAACTTCATAGAAGAAGCGGCGCTTCTGGCAGGGGCTTGCCGCCTTTCCCTGAGGGCCACATCTACCAGGCCATCGCGACCTAAATGGAGGCTCCAGGCCTTCAAGGCCAAACTCCGGCTTAGCAAGTTTAAAAAAGCAAGTTTCCTCAGGAAGTGCCCTGGCACATCGTGTGCCCACTCTGATCCCCCAATCCGGAGAGTCTGCCCTGCATCTGTCTTGTTTACAGGAGCCCTGGTGCAGACCTGGAAGCTGAGCTTCGCGCCCACTCTTTCCCTCATCCCCGAAAGCCCCACTTTTCAAGTTCTCTGAAAGCTTCGAGCTCTAAAAGGGCAAAAGCCCCAACAGGTCTTTACTGTCAGAGACAGGTCCTGCTGTCCCAGGGTAAACGTGCGTGCGGGGAGGCCAGCCCAGGCCCCTTCAACTTCAGTTTTTGCAGTGGAGATCTCTACAGCAACGGGAATGGCCTCCTCCTTCTGCTTCTCTTGGGGAAAGCACCCAACCAGAAAAAAAAAAATTTTTTTTTTTGAGCCTGCGCTACTTCCGAGAGATCCGAACAGCTAGGGCACCGATAGGCCGAGGCTAAGGGGAACCGCGGTCCTGCAAGCCTCGGCTGTGCGTTGAAGCTGTGAATAAGGTTCCTTCTCTCGGCCCTAGCTCTGAACGTTTCCTTTATTCTCGTTTTGTTGACGTTCGCTTTATTCTAATTTTTAAACTCAGCACTCAAACCAAAACAAACGCACAAAAATGAAAACACAGCCTACTTCTTACGGGGGAGGGAGGTGGAGGCCGGAACGGCATCCACCCTAAGTGAGACTTCATTATCAGTCCTCAGAAGTATCTAGGACTCTCCCAACTTTTCAAAGACTCGGGACAATGAGGGCGAGCGAAGGGGGAGGAGGTGGGAAGGAACCCACAGGGAGCGCCAAAAATGCTATAGGAGAAAACAGCACGGGCGGCTGGAGAGCTCCAGGGTGTGGGCACTCTGCGCGGACCCCAGAACTCACAGCCTCCAGCCCGCGGAAGGCGGGAACCGAAAAGCCGCGGGGAGATTGGAGCACCCTGCAGGCACCGTCCCAACGCCGGCTCAGGCCTACGCGCCCGCGGGTTCCGCAGACTCTTGTGCTCGCAAACGCCCCAGCACACCCGAGTAGCCCTGCACTCCTGTCCCGGGAAGTCGGTAGAGGTCAGCTGCAACTGGCCGTTCCACCGGAGAGGAAGTGGGAGGAAGGGAAGAAGCGCCCCGAGTGAGCAGGCCGCGGACTCCCGCCGGTGCTGGGCTTCCGCTCGGAAAGTCCTTGGGATTAGGGATTTGGTCCTTTCTTTGCTAGAGTAGCTCGCCATACTTTACATTCCCCAGTTATGACCTACGCGGATTTAGGATTAAGGAAAAATGTGACTTTTAAATGGTTTCTGCTTCCCAGTTTTGCAGGATTATTTGAAATAGCTAGAAACGGGGTGCACAGCATTCCATTCAAAATCCGCTTTGCAGAGTTGCTTCTGCGCTCTGGAGCTCCGAGTTTTGAGCGGCTGCGTTATTGTGCGGCCGCCTGGAGCTGCGGCCCAGTTCCCGCCCCCGCCTCACCCCTCCCACCCGCAGCACCTGGCAGCTAAATAGAAACCACTCGCTGGACCGGTGGGCTGCGGCGGGTCGCAACCTTGCCCGCCACCGGGGCAACCGGGGAAGCTAGCATCCAGACGCAACGAAATGGCTCTCTCAGTTTCCCGAAAGGCTCCGACGCAACAGTCCGAGGGGAGCTAGGCCAACGGACACACACTCCCGGGAGAGTCCCACTCTGGGGCTCAGATTTGCAGAGCTCCGGGAAGGACCTCCCCGGCCTCCCAGCCTGCCCTCCCCAGGCCACGCGCCGGGACCCCGCGGCTGCCGGAGAGGTACCCACTTGTTGATCCGGCGGGCTTGCTCATGCTGGCGGTCCCGGGGCGCAGCGGTTGGTGGGCACCGCCGGAGTCCCGGCCCGCAGCGCCCACGTCGCCGCCGGGCGCCGCCGCTCTCCAGCCGCCCTCCAGCCTGCAAGGCTCCCGGGCGGGACAGGTGGCTATTGGTTGCGCGCCGCCCTGCTCTCCCGGCGCTCAGAATTCGTTCCACAGTGGAAATGGAAGCATCCTTAAGTTTCTTCCCGGCTCTAGCAAAACCGCAGCTGTTGGGAGTACGGCTTGCTGTGGACACAGGCGGGAACAGACGGATGGAGAGATGGACAGGCAGGCTGGAGAGGGAGGACAGCACCAGGGGAATGTGGGAGCACAGAGACGGAGACACGGAAATGGTCTTCCTACGGAGCAAAAAGGGCAAGATTCCTCTCCTTCCCCATTCCTGCTACTCAGTTTCCAACCTCTCGCTCCGCACAGGCGTGCCCAGTGAGCAGATCTCTACAGACCGCGGATCTTCTCTGGAAAGACGAAAATCACAGCCGCGGTCTCCGAGGCAGAGGAGCTCGGCGCTGCCGGAGCCCCGGCGCCGAGAGGGGGGACTAGATTGCTGGGAGATCTTCTAAGGGAAGAGGTGGCCAGGTCCGAGTTTCCGGGGACAGCCGAGCACGCCGCGGCGAAGGGTCCCCGAAGTTCATTACCCTGTGACTTTGTGCCTGTCGCTGCGGGCCGGGGCTCGGGTAATATCTCCAGAAGCGCTCTGACAGGCAGCCGCGGGGAGGGGAATAGGGCGTCCCTGGCCCACTTAGCTTTTCCCCCAACTCCTGGCGGGGTCTGACGTCAGCCATGTGCGGGGAGGAGATGGGAAGAGGGAGGGGGTTAAATGCTAATGATATTAATGAACCTCCAAGCGGCTTCCAAAGAAAATGCAGGCGCTCTGGGAGCTGACGAGTTAGAGTGTGAATACGCGAGTGCGGCTCCCTCCGTGCGTGCGTGATGGTGAGGACCGTGCCGCTCTTGTAATAAAAATGAATTTTTATATTTCACGGCGAGGGAGAAGGGGAGGGGTGACGGGGCTGTCTCAAAACGCTTTCCCCCCTCTCTCCAGAGTGCCAGACACATAGATTCGTGGAAGAAATTGGGTGGCTGTGTCTGTGTGTGATTGTGCGCGCCCGGACATGGTCATGTGAGTTGGTTCATTGTTGGTCCCGCGCCCCTTCTGTTGGGTAAAACTTGGATCTGGCCCGAGGTAAGTAATTTATTCATTTTGCGACTATCTGTGGAAAGCCAGAGCCGAGGACGCGGACTTGGGGCCTGGGCTGGGGTCTTGCGGTCCCTCGGCCTTGGCGTGCAGGCTTTGGGCACGGCGGCGGCCGGGCTCCGCCAGCTTCCTGCAAGCACACCGGGCCCACCCGGAGCTGCCCGAGTCCTCTCGCCTCCATTACGTGCTCTGGAGCTGCTGGAAGGCGAAGCCTTCCCTCCAGCGGCTGGTCCCCAGCGGGCATCGCCGGCTTCCCCCTGCAGGCCCGGAGACCCCGGGGAGCACCGCCACCTCCCTCCCCACCCCGATCGCCTATCCCGAATTCCAGAGCTCTCCGGCGTCCTGGTCGTGGCGCGGCGCGGGGACAGCGCGCGCCGAGGGAGCAGTGATCTCCCGTTCTCTAAGAGATTAATTCTATTTAAGCTCCCTCGGCAGCTTGAACTTGTCGAACAAGAGCTTGCCAGCCTCTCCTCGGGGCGTGGGCCCGGCCGGGGGTCAGAGGTCACGCCTCCCGCGCTGCACAGAGTTGGGGGGGAGGGGAGCGGTGGTCGGCTCTCCCTCCGGGCGCTGGCCCAACCCGCCCGCAGCTCCCTGTCCACACGGCCGGCCGCAGTGAGCTTGCGGGGCCTGCCGGCGTCCCCCGAGGGCTCGCCTGGGCTGCAGGTCCACGGCCCGCCCGGGTCCCAAACCACAGGCAGGGCTGCGCGCTCGGGTCGCCCGCCGCAGCACGTGATTGCAACTTTCCCGGGTTGCCCGAGCCCCCGAGGCAAGGGACCCTGCGCACCACACACAGCAGCCACCCGGCGCGGGGCCCGGCCACCCAGAACAACCGAGAGGCGGGTGATGGCTTCCCGTACCACCTCTCCTCTATGGCCTTACAAACTCGGACGAGTTTAGGGTATGGTGGGAATTTTTAGGTGACAGGAGAGAAAATTACTTTTTCTTTTTTTTTTTTTTTTTTTTTGACAGCCAACTTGGGCTGCCAGCCACCCCTGCTCTCAGCACAGCTTAAACTCGAACTCGGTGCGCAGAGGGGAAAGGCATTTCCGGTTAGAGACAGGGTGCCAGCCTCGGTTTCAGGTCCTCGGGTCTAGCTCTTGCCAGAAATCCAGTTGTTGCTGCCGCCAATACCACCATCGCGATGTGGTGGCAGAAGGGGGCGCTTGGTCAAGGACAAAGAACTTCAAGTGGAACTAATTTGTCGCGGGCAAAGAGAAGGGGCAAATGGCGAGGAGGGCTGGACCTGGGCTTGTCTTCGGGGAGAAGTTTAAGGATGTGTGGGCAGGAAGGGGATTTTCAGGTGCCCAAGCTGGGAGGTAGAAGGACGTGGCTGCCCTGGATTTCAAATGACCTCTCTCGCATGAGACATGAGCCTGATGACTCATTTACAGACACCAAAACTTATGAAAAATACTTCCAAGCTCATCAAAATTGTCCCCCAACCAAAACCGGAATGTTCTTTCTCCAGGCACTAACTCTTAATGGAACTAGGTGCCAAGAAACCCGCTAAACAGGCAAGGGTGTATACACCCCCACCCCCACCCCACACAGAGAGGACTATTCAATTCTGGCAAACACCATAGGGGGCTACCCACCCCGCAGCATATGCGTTCTGTGTTCTGGGCGTCCGACTGTAATTATCTGCGCGCTTTGCATAATTCACAATACAGTTCTGAAATCATAGTGATGACTTTCTGGCATGATTGATTCGGTGGTAAAGGCAGCAACTAGCTGCAGAATAGGCTGGCGGGCCTGAGCTTCAACCCCCAGATCGCAGAGAAGCCTGGAGCCCAAAGGCCGGCTGGCCTCTGCTCATGCCAACCGGCTGAAGGCCACAGGGACCCTGGCTCTAAACTGTGGAAATCTGGAGCTAATTGGGACACAGCTCAAAGAAAAAATCTTTAGTAGAGCAAAGACTGACTTCATTTCCCATCCACTGGCCTCAACACGCTGCCCGCTTCATAGGAGGTGCCACAGAATGTGGGAAAGAATGGAGTCATTGGCAGACTTCCCGAGGGGCCTGCTCCAGGCCCTGCACGGAAACCAGGAGACAGGAATTCAGATCCTGCCCCAACTAGCTGTGCAACCTTGGGCAAGTGACTAGACCTCTCTGGCCTCCAGATTGGTATTTATTAAAAGGCTTGTGATTTTGTTCAACTTTCAGTTACACAAATTTCCCCTATGAGACTCTCAAGGGAAACATTGATAAAGGCTATCTATCATGCCACTCATCTCAGAAACATCTTTAACAGGACAAAGATAAGTTTGCAGGTTGGCAAGGAGGAAAAACCAAACCTAGAGGCCCTCCAGGACCAGGTCCAAAGCTAGTCCCCCGTTTTCAAGACAAGGTCTCACTACCTAGCCCCAGCTGCGCTGGAACTGGCCAGGTAGAACAGGCTGGCCTCACAGAGCATGCCTGTCTCGGCCAGCCCCTCTCCCCCAAGTGCCCGGGACTAAAGGTATGCACCACTAGGATCTGCTTCCTCCATCACTCTGTGAGCCTGCTGCTCTCAACCTAACCCGAAGCTTGCAACCCCAGCCAGGCATACTGCATTGCAGGATGGTTGCATTTTGGTTCCGGAGAAAAATAAGAGGGAGAACCCACCAGTCCACCCGATTCATCAAATAACCCTGAGCACCCACCATGTGTCACCTGGGGATGTAGGAGATTAATAGCATGGCCCCTTTCTTACTCAAAGAGACTATGGGGGGCAGACACACTAAAAATGGTGTTGGGGAGGGGAGCTGGAGGGTTGGCTCAGCTAAGAGTGCTTGTTGCTCTTTCAGAGGATCTGGGTTTGAGTCCTTGAACTCACCTGGAAACTCACAACCATCTGTAACTCCAGGCCCAGGGGATCTGACGCCCTCTTCTGGCCTCCATGGGCACCAGGCATGCATTTGGTACACACATAGATGCAGGCGAAACAGTCATCCATACAAAATATTTTTTTAAATGGTTTTAGATGGAGGTAAATGCAGGAAATGCTGAAAAAGTATACAAAGGTTCCTAGATCAGGAAGCAGCACCCCAGTTACACATGGATCTGGGAAAGCTGCCCTCGGGGTTCAGCACACGCTCTGAGTGTGCTGCCTCTAGACTGGGCCTGTTCCAGTTCTTTCCTCCAGTAGAGAGCCGTCCAACCAGTTTAAAGCAGGGCTTCAATTCTGTTCACTAGGCTTCATGAGAGCAGTTAACAGGAACATCCTGAGCCCTGGGGACTGTCTGGGAGTGATGTTAGCTCTGCCATCCACTGGTTCTCCTCCCCTTCCCCAAGAGGTTGCCATGTTCTCCCATCTCTGCCCCTCTCCCATGCTTCTAAATGAAAAGGACCTACAGAGCAGGGAAAAGCTGCTTCCCGGCAAGCAGATCTGTTGAAGTTGGCTGGGAACTCAGAGACCTTTCCTTCTTACCTGGCCACTTGTTTTCGTGAAGGAGAAAGGTGGGGTTTTTGTTTTGTTTTGTTTTTCTGACTTCTAAGTTGTATTGATAGCCAGCCCCTGGTTGTGGCTTGCCCAGTGGGTGGGTCATGGGGCAGAGCCCATTGTATAGCAGGTGCCCAGTAAGGTTTTGCTAAGTGGCAGGCTGAAAAAACTGTTGCCAGGCTTGCTTCCGGTCCTTCGATTCTTCCTCAGGCCTCTTCACACGTTGCTTGGCTGCAAACTCTACTCAGAAAAAAAAAACAAGAAACAAAAAAAACAAAAACCAAACAAACAAACAAAGAAAAAAACACTGAGACAATCCAGAAAGCAACTTCAGTTCCTCCAGAACACAATCAGCACTGAGTTGCAGGTTTTCTCTCAACAAAACCCAAAACCGCGCTGCTAAGAACTGTCTGTTACTTCACACTAATGGGAAGAAGCATGTAGTTGTTCTGTGTGGCAGACCTGTTCCCTTAACAAACAAATCCTGTCTCTGCATTTACACACACACACACACACACACACACACACACACACACACACACAATACACACCACTTGACAGAAGAAATTCAGTTCTAGAGTCAAAGAGGAGAGGCATCTAGAATCTCACTGCACCTTGCACTAACAATACTCAAACAGAAGTGTCCGCCCACTTCGAGCCTGGCTCCAGTAGGGCTTATAAAGGTGGATATATAAGTCAGCCTGCTTGGTGGGAGTCACAAAGCTCCCACAATGGGACAGGGTTGGGTGAAAAGGTGTAGGAACAGGCTCAAGGTCCCCAAACCTCAGAGGTTCAGCAGAGTTTGACTTTCTGAGACAAAAGCCTGACTAGAGAAGCAAAAGAGGGCTCCATCCAGGGAGAGCCTGGCCATCAATCCTTCTTCGGCCGGCCGCTTCACTTCCTACAATTTACCCGGTCTGTTTGGTTTTCTTGTACCCCGGACTCTCAGAGCACACGAATCAGAACGAAGCTCAGTACTCCTTCAAAATGAGGAACCTGGGACCCTTCAAAAGACAAATCCTGTCCCCAGTCACTCATCTGAAAACATAGACCACCCAAGAATCCGGATCTCTGATTCTTCTTGAATATCCATTCTATAGCAGGAAGCAGCCTCATCTCCCAGGAAGGCTTCTGGAAGCTCCAACTAAAACAGCTTCCCTCAGTTCCCATTGAGACCCTGAGAATTAGGAGCAGTGTCCTGTGCATCCTGAAGGGACTGTGCAGTGTCTCTGCTGTCTCATCCTATGTCATTTCACACTTTCCTTCAAATCCCTCT